GCCCAACCGGTGTGGCTCAGTTGGTTGAGCATTGTCCCATGCATCATAAGGTTGCTGGTTCCATTCCTGATCAGGGAACATGCCCAGGTTGTAGGCTTAATCCACAATAGGGGGTTTGCAGGAGGCAACCAATCCATGTATCTCTTTCATCAATGTTTCTATCTCTTTCCTTCTCTCTGAAATAAAAACATATTATTTTAAAAAAGAATAATCGCTGTAGAAACAGAAGTTTAATGAACAATTGTCCAACATCCTTGTCTAAACCCTTGCTACTAAAAGTGTGGTCTGTGGACAGAGTTTGTTAGAAATGTGGATGCTCAGGCCCCAATCCAGACCCTCTGGGACAAAAGCAACATTTCAACAAGGTCTACTGGTGATTCACATGCACATTAATGTTTGGGAAGCTCTGGTTTAAAGAAAGTCAGCTGTTTTATTAGATGGTCTATAATTTTCTGCTGAGGTCTGCACGCTAGTATGTTTTTCCTGAACACATTTAGGTCAAGAGACATTGACACAGAGGTGTCTGCCTGCCTGGGCAGATGGGCATCTCTTATCTCCTGTGAAGTTTCTCAGAGTGCAAAGGAAGACATCCCTGATTTTAAATCAGGATCCTATTACAGTAGTGCTAGAAGCTGTTGGAAGCATTGCTGAGCTTTGCTCTGTTCTTGTACCGATTTCAAATCTTATTAAGCCAGGAAGTAGTGCCTGGCAAATGGTTTATCCTGCCTTGGCTATTCATGCTTCCCAATTCATTTTTATTGTGCTAATTAAGCCTCAAGTGATATTTCAAGTACAGATTGTTTTTTCCATTATTAAGTCTTTGGCCAGCATATTAATGCTGTAGCATTAACGTGAGTCAGATGCTTACTCATTTGTGGAAGACTTTACATTTAAAAGATCTAGACTTGGCCAATTTTGCACAGATTCCTTTGGAAACTGCTATGACAGGGTGATACAATTTCCCTATAAATAAAGGAGACTCACTCTTCTCTCACAAATAGACATATAGTTATTTTTTTTAATGAACCAAATTCCTAGATCATGGATATGTATTGGTATGTACGGTCTGTGCTAAAATGGATATATGCAGTATGGGGAGGTAGTACATATGGTGTAGTTGTGAAGACTCTGAGCTTGGGGTTCAAATCTCAGTACAAAGATACTTGGGCAACTTTAGAAGATGTATTTGACTTTTCCAAAATTCACTCTTCATTAATTAAATGAGGGAGACATACTTAACTTTAAGATTGGTTGTAAGAATTAAATAAAACAAAAATTTAAAGTATTAGAAAAGAATATCTGGTTTAGTGAGTGCCCAATAAATGCTGTTGTTGTTACTGTAACTAAACAAATATTTTTAGAATTGTTAAGTATATAAGCTTAAACTTGAAGAAAACTGTATCAGATTTTATAGGGGAAATTAAGATTATGGCATAAGATTCTCTACTGAGAACCTCTTAATTTTTACCTTTTTTTCAGAATTTCTAAGCTATGACATTCATAAAAGGTAGGAAATTCATCACAGGTTTGTGCTTGAGGTATCAAAGGGGTCTCACCAAGCTCTATTGATGTTTCTGGCTGTGGAGGTCATACCTTAAGAACAAGCACTGTGGCAGGCCCTGCCCCATGCTCCCTCCAGCACCAGCAGATACTTCTATAAGTACAAAGAAGATAACAGAAGAGTCAACAAAGCACACAAATCAATTGCAAGCTGGAAAGCAGCTGGATGAGTAGTAACTGACTTAAAGGCCAAGGATGCTGGTTACCAAGTCGGCAATGGGGAATGGAAAGGGGAAGCTTGTTTTAGGTTGCAGAACAATTATGAGGCTCAGAGAGTGACAGTCCAGGTAATGCCAAATACAGGAGACTGGCTCGAAGTCTATCAAGAAGCGGTTAATCCCATTCTTGTTCCATACACCCAGGTGACTGTACCCCTCCCTCCTCAGCAGGTTTATTCTCTAAAGATCATAAAATGAGGCTCCCCAGAGAGAGATGAGGCTGTGAGAACCATACGAAACTGATGGATTTGGATTTACATACTGAATATTGATATTTTCAGCCTTCTTTCTTTCCCAAGGAGGACACAGAAAGAACATTCTCTGAATAATTTGACCAGTCCCTTCCCCAAAGTGACTTAATAATACTGACATCAGAGAGTACCTAGTAAGGAGGCCAATCATATTTTCCTTCCATGAAGCCAACAGTGAATAAATATGCAATGCTTCTAGTACCTCATTCTTATGGATGTGTCAACGGCCAGGGATCACCAACTGTTTGAGAAAGTCTCATAATATAAAAGACAAACACAAAACAATCCAAGAGAGAAAAAAAGTTACAAGAAACAAGGTTGATATGGAGAAACAAATTTTAAAAAATTATCATTAATATCTCAGAGACCAGAAGAGACATTGCACCTGTGAAAGAAAAGCGGGGCTATAAAAATAGAAGACCATTTGGGGTCAAAAGATGAGCCTTGGAAGCTAAATATGTGAGCCAGAGTAATGGCAACCTCAGAAGCAGGTTTGAAAGGTAAATCTGAGGAAATCTCCCTGTTAATAGAACAAATAGACAAAAATATGGAACGCAGGAAAGAAAGGATAAAAAAAATTTGCTGGGATATCTAGAAGGTTCAACATCCGAATAACAGAAGACCTAGGCGATGAGAACACGTTGCCCCATAGTTGAGGTGGCATCATTTATTTTTCTTAGCAATACATGCCATAGTGTTGTAGCCTATAATTTGTGCTGTCTTAAATTTGATAAAATGTAACTGTTACATATGATGGTTCGGCTGTTTGTAGAGTTTATATTTTTATAATAAACTTTATATCCACATCTAGACCACCTAATGTCTCAGCATGTGTAAGGGCAGACAGAGTATGTTGAGTGTGCGCTTGGCATGTGGGGAGGGCTGGCCTTCCGTGTGAAAGTGAACCTTATCTCCCTCAGTGAGCGGTCACTAGATAATGTTAACACAGAAAAATCAAGAAGTAGCAACATAAGCATGATATTTAGCGATATAGAGATCAGTGTCCTAAAAGAACTAGAAAGAAATAATGAGTGCCTCTGGGAATAGGAAGTAGTGCCACACAGGTGAGATGAGACTACTCTTCATCACAAAGAGAATGAATGTTTTTCATAACAAGTTTCATAGAATTATAGACTCTTAAAACTATGTGACTAAATATTTAAATGGAAAACTATATATGGTTTAAAAAAGTCACCTTGATCATACCACTGACTTCAAGGAGACTTTTCACTAAGTAAACCCTTTCCTTATAGCTTGCCTTGACAACGTCTTAATAAATTAGAAAGCTTAATTGTCAAGGAAGTTGTCACAAAATATTAGAACAATAAGAAATTAGAGCTCTATCTTCTTAATGAACAGCTTAATTTTATAGAAAGTAAAGGGAAACAGGTGGAGAGGGAAAATGACTCACCCAAGGCCACATACTACAAGTCAGGTTTAGGGTCTTGGGCTCCTGACTTCTGATCCAGGGCTCATTCCTGTTGACGGCACTGTCTCTTGATCACTCCTTTGCTTCCTTGTCCTGTGTAACTCGAGTATTGGGGGCCCTTTTGAAAACCCATGAAAGACACAACATTGCTCCCTATTGGATGCTGACAGGAAGGAAGATTTCTGAAGAGGTCACACCAGTCCCTGAAAGCCCGAGCTTGTCAGGAGGGCCCCTGCCGAGGGTGGGAATACCATGAGACTTACGCTGTCTAAACCTTCTTTCTGTCTGGTGTTAGTAATAGAGAATAATGGCTTTGTCGTTAAGGACTGCATCGTAAGGGAAGGGTGTATACATAGTATTGTGGAGCTGATGGGGCACAGAACGCTAGGTGGGTAGGTTAATTGCAATTTAATGGCTGTTGAAGATGAATTGCCTTTTCTGACCTCTAGGTTACTCCTGAGTTAATCATGTGTCATAGTTCCACGGGACACAGCTGTGGAGGGTGAATGCAGTCCCAGGCAGAATTTCTGATACCAAGCAATGGACTAGCCTGACAAGATTTGACATATTGTTACAATCTTTGAGACTTGTCTTCATGTGAACAATACTATGATTCCTATATGGTTAAAAGCAGTGTAAACACCCCATAGGTGTGGTAGTTTAATGTAGTGACTGCAGCATCAATGAAAGAAAGCTAGTCTTTGAAATGTAAAAGAATTAAAATGATGCCCTTCTGAAATATTGGGAAATGTTTATAAGGTTCAAAATGTCATTGGATGATCAATACTTTCTCAGAGGTTTTCCACCAAAGAACTTTTCATTGGAATAAGGATCCATCTAACTTTTTCATCATATCATAAACAGGATAACCAATTTTACCCACCATATTTAACTATGACTTATATAGCTTTGAAACATTGTAATGCTGTGATGGTTCAAGCTTCATGCCTTTGAAAAATGCTTTGAAACTACATTTTCTTTCCATAGTTTGATTCTCTTTCAAAATCGGGGTCAGATTTTGAAACAAATTTCAAAATCATAGTCTGAGTCTTTCAAAGTATAGGTCTAGTAGTGGGTTAGATTTATGAGTTACTTAATACCAAAAATGGATTTATGTGAAAATGTAGATGCTTCTCACTCTTTTGTTCTGGACTATGAAAATGTGGAGGGAGGGGGAAGGGGAGCTGAGATGGTCCCCAGACACAGTACCTGTTTATGTGCAAATTGCAGTAGTAACTGTAGAACAGAAGAACTAGAAGACAGTTCTGCAAACTAGCGTTGTCGTTTTTTTAAATAAAAAGTTATTCTGCAGTAGTATTTTCAAGAAGTGCGTAAAATTTGCTTTCTAATCTTATTACCACACATTTTGGGTTCCCATTAAATTGGTAAAGCTTATCAACCTGGCATTTTTTTCAGAACAACATAAAGCAGTCTCAGGAAGTAAATAATCCTTCATTTCAAAGCATAAAGAGTTTTCAGTTTATTGCTATGGTGTTGATAATGCATTTGTTTGACGATGTCTCTACTTCCCTTGTTGCACAGGTTTGCCATCAGCAAGTCTGGCCGCGCCTAACCTCACTGTGGAGGAAGGAAAGTCGATCACATTATCCTGCAGTGTTGCGGGAGATCCAGTTCCGAGTTTGTACTGGGATGTCGGTAATCTGGTTTCCAAACATATGGTAAGGCTTGTCTTTGGCTCTGTGTTCATAGACAGATGAGAGTGTCTCAGAACTTGAGGTTGTATTAACCTAGTGATGATCATTTAATATTTTATAGGGCCACATAAGAGGAATTTGGGGTGTATATTTACTTTCTATTTATTCCGAATTAAAGACTGATGCAGGTTTGCATTTTAGTTATGTAAACCCAATAGACTGGAGAGAGTCTATGTCTCTAGTGAGCTTTTTGTTCATCGTGAGCAAGGTGAGTGACTCCTTTTCTCTTCAAGGAAGGTAGGTAGGCGTCCAGGGATTAAATCAATTTCACATACTAAACAATTGAAATCTAGAGAAATAGAACAACTTCTGATTTACTCCTTTGCCTGTGCTTGATTAGGCTGGAAACCTTTTCTAATGTTATCAATTATTTTCTCTAATCAGGGGAAGAAACCCCAAATCTTGTCACTTTGGGACCAGTCCTAACAAAGATTATCTTTGTCTGTTAATTCATTTGTAGAATGAAACAAGCCACACACAGGGCTCCTTAAGGATAACTAACATTTCATCTGATGACAGTGGAAAGCAAATCTCTTGTGTGGCAGAAAATCTTGTAGGAGAAGATCAAGATTCTGTGAACCTCACTGTGCATTGTACGTAATCAGACCAGCATGTGTTTTTAATAGCAAATGATCGTGGACGCACCTACATTTGTCTTTGGGGCACTCTGGGTGCTGCTTAAGTGTGTTAAAGAAAAGTGTATGCAGTGTTCTCTGCACACTTGATTAAGAAATGTTATCGGCCTCTTTCACTTGTTCTATTTCTGCTAATCTCTACTGCTCATGCGCTGTCTTTCCCGTAAGCTTGTCCTCTTTATTTGATAGAACATATTCTGAGATGGTTATCCACCCCTTGTTCACAGTTTTAATTTAAATTCTGATAAACCCATTTTTAATTTTTTTCTGTATAAAAGCAATATGAAGCTTCGCAGTTCTGATACCTAAAGTGTGGGGCTGGCTGTTCACAAACATCTACTTGCACTGTTGATACAATCAAACCTCATAAATTTGACATCAGGTTTCCATGAAAGGCTGGAGGAGTCCTACTGAAATTTTTGTAAAACTTTTATTATCATAACTGTTTGAAATTTCTGTATCCATTGAAACTAAGGTAGAGAAGATAAATACTTCTTAAGTATTTGTGCATTATTTTCCAGTATTAATAAACAACACGACACATATCTTAGCAGACTGTAGCATTCAATGTGAATGTGTATTCAGTAAAAATCACGTACACTGTTCACATCATTGCAGATCCTGAGCTAGCCTGGTATAAACTAACAAGCTTTTTCTCAGTTTGAATTAGAGTTTGGATGAGAAAAAACACAAATGTGCATGTGTGTATGCACGAATACACACTGCACACATGTGGACACTGGTTAACGTTCACTCGTAGCAGACCTTCAGTATGTGACTTTTGGCCTGAATGACTGAAATCACCAGCCACAGTCCTCTGTCACCAGCAGTACTACCACTATGCCCAGTAGGTACTGGCCTCATAATTTCTCATTGTTCTGACCTTCCTGGAAGGCTGAAGTCAAGGTTATCCCCAAACATATGCAACCAGCTTCCAACTTTATGTCCTTAAATCAACACCTCGCTGAAAGCTCCTTTGAGTGTGGTGGAAAGAATAAGTGTGTCCTGGACATGAGGGCCTGGGCTGGTGGGGGGAAGGTAAGTGTAGTTCCTGCCCCACTGTGGTCCTTGTGTTTATAACACAGCCCTACAAATAAGGACATGCGAATTCAAAATGTTCTCAGTTTAGGTCAATATCTACGTGGTAGTCATGGTCTGAAGAATTAACCTTATCTATCAAAGTTTAGATAAAAAGTAGAAGGAATACAGGATAAAGAATATTAACAACTAAGATAACCTTTGCAGTGACCCCACTCAGAGTGTATTAATTATCAGGCTATGATATTCCCCTCCTTCATGTGAGGAACCTATATGACCGGAAGCGGTGTGTGGAGGCAGGGCTTCTGGGTAGGACACCTGGGTTCTCGTTCCAGACCTGCCTCGCTCAATAACCTTGACCAAGTTTCTTGACCTCATTGGATTTGGGTTTCTTCATCTGAAAAATGATGCTATTAGGTCCTTGATTGTATAATTATCAGAGTCAAACCACATTAAAATAAATGACTATGAGGGGTTTTTAGTACTTTCACCTAGGATAATTACTCTGTTTAAAGATGCTACTCAATAATGTGTGTTTCCCACAGCATAAAGTGCTTTCTATTTAATGTTAAAATAACCTCTAGTTTGTCCAGGTTCAGATAGGACTTTAGACATTAGAAGGATCAAAACATTGACATCTGAAATCCTAGCCAAAACAACAACTGTATTATAATGAAATGTGATGCTTTTAAAGGGCATTTACTATTGACAATCAGTAATATCAATCAGCATCAGTAGGAACATTTACTGCATCAATCAGTTTGATCTGTTTTAGATAACTGATGTGAGATTAGGGCTGCAGGCAAGATTCCCAAAGTCATTATTTGTATTATTTAGTGAAGTCCTCTAAAAGTAGTGGCCCTCAATGTTTTGATGATCCATCTGTATAATATGAAGGCACGTAAACCAAAGTCAACTTCAGCTGAACCCTTTCCACTGTCAGAAGTCTCTAGGATCTGTTTGGAGCAGTTTCCACACTGAGTAGGATGTGACCATGATTGTGATGCCTGGGTCTTTAGCAGAGCAGAGAGGAGTGTCTCTGAAGCTCTCTGTAGGGAGTTAAATCAGCCTTGATGACGGTACAAAATACTGATGGATTCCAGGGTTGCAGGTCGTGTGTCTTCTTAAACCAAACAGTGGTTGAATTAAGTCCCCTATCAATGACACAGAAATCTGGAGATGGGAAAATTGTGAGCTTTCTGATGCTATTAACTCTCTCTTTTTCAATTTAGTTGCTCCAACTATCACATTTCTCGAATCTCCAACCTCAGACCACCACTGGTGCATTCCATTCACTGTGAAAGGCAACCCCAAACCAGCGCTTCAGTGGTTCTATAACCGGGCAATACTGAATGAGTCCAAATACATCTGCACTAAAATCCATGTCACCAATCACACGGAGTACCACGGCTGCCTCCAGCTGGATAACCCCACTCACATGAACAATGGGGATTACAAGTTAGTCGCCAAGAATGAGTATGGGAAGGATGAGAAACAGATTTCTGCTCACTTCATGGGCTGGCCTGGTGATGACGGTGAGTACCTGATGCTTTTGTATCTGGAAAGAGGACAGGGTCTGCTATTCAACTGTGAACAAAAGCATGTGCATAACAAACCACCCCCGGCCCAGTAACTTACAACATACTATTTAGTCTCGTCATTGTGGCCCACCTGGTCTTGCTAACGGGTCTGCAGATCAGCAGGGGCAGTTTTGTCCTGGGTGTCCTTATTCCGGGGTGCAGGGTGAAGAAGCAGCAGCTACACAGGACACCCACTTCCTGTAGTGAGTGCGGAGAACAAGAAGACACCTAGAGGTATGCAAGGCTTCCTAAGGCCTAGGTTCAGGACCCACACGTGATCTCTTCGGCTATATGCCCTTGATCAAAGCAAGTCACAGGGCCAAAGCCAAATCCAGGGGCAGGGACTCCTACTCCTCCCAAGGAGGTGATGGGGGCATGAATCATTTTGAACAATGATCTAATATGCACATATTATTTTTATCCCAAGTGTTTAATGAGATTTTGTAGCTGCAGTGGCAAAACCCAGACAAAACCGTGAGCAAGAAAACAGTGTTTGGTTGGCTCTTGGACAATTCAAGATGTATTTTCTAGCCCCTTATCCACCTGGAATTCAGAATCCTACTTTCTCATCCATGGTTGAAAAATCAGTGCCCTGGCATGTTTTGCTTATCTGAACTGGCTGAGGTGAGGCGTCCGTTTGTTCAGATCCTGAATTGTTTTTTTAGGACTTGTAATGGTTTCCACCTGACCAATGATTTGGTTTGGGAAAGGGTGCTGGCATCAGGAGTCCATCCTGTGGCCAGCACCAGGGTTTTAGTGTGACCCTAGCAACTCAAGGGTAATTGTCCTGCATCCACCTGCTTCAGACCCCGCTGTTCAGTGGAGTATTCTTACTTGCTTGGGATTGTTGCCCAAAGACCTGTTGCCGTGGAGGCCAAGGCGTGTGTTTGGATATTGGGACCGGCACATGAATTGAATTCTTCACCGTAATAGCTCTAACTTAATCAAAGCCACGCAGGGATGGCTTGGCAGAAGAAGGGGAAATAGAAAGTTGGAGGCCCCTGAGGCAGGGGCTGCTTGGGAAGCATAAACTGGCTCACAGGGCAGCCCCACGGACAAAGATGATGCGTGCAAAGCCGCCTTCCATAGACAGTGAATGAGAATGTCGTAATTCTTAGTCTATAGTAAGTGTTCCCATTATCCTGCTATTTATTAAACAGCTATGTAAATGGACAAGTTTCCTTAGCGTGTTCAAAATGTGTTTTGAATTCTATAAGTCTGATTTACAAACAGCCTTTCAGGAGTATATAAAACAAGTGGTGTTTGGATGCCTTGCCAGACGCCCCTGGCAGTTGTCTTTCCCATTAATTCTCCCTCTTAATTGAGTTTAGCTGCTTGGCTACATTTGCTGTAGTAAATCTCTAGAGTACTGTCTTTTCCCCTGCATGTTTTGGGGAATACAGCTTTATAGTTAAATTCAGAGACTCTGCTTTGGGACAACTCCTTTTTGTTTGTTTTTAAGTACACTTTTTACATGTGAATTTTAGATTTACCGAAAAGTAGCAAAGAGAGGAGAGTCCCCAGCTACCCTGTACCCAGTTTTTACTATTGTTGATATCTTGCTTTACTGCAGTACATCGGTCAAAACTAAGAAACCAATGTTGCTACATTACTGTTAACTAAACTTGACTTTATTTGAATTTCACCAACAGCCTTTGGAAACTGTTGGAAGTGAACTTGCTGCAGGGTGAAGGTCAGGCATTTAGAAGGTGTAGAAGTGGTCTGTGTGCTTTGATATGTGCGTAGTTCCCATAAAGCCAGTCGCTTCTATTTCAGGTGGGATTTTGATGTATTTTGTTTTGAACATTTCTGTATGGTGCCAGTGTTTGGTGGAGCTCAACTCCTCTTATCCATGTGGCCTCATTTTTATCAATTATCTCTGTTCGTTTTAACTCCCCTAGTGGGAGGAAAGAACTGTTTCCTGGCATAAGAATAACTTGGAGTCTCTCAAATATCCTCTTTAAGAGAAATAATCCTTTATTTGTGAAAAATAAAAATTAAACTCAATTTTTATCAAGATGTACCCTGCCTCCCTTCCCTCCTCTCTTCTTGCCCATTTATTAGTTTCTATCAGGTTTTTAAAATGTAAATACCTGCTTTTAGAGAGGACTAATTTTGTTTTTTCTCTTTACGTATTTACTCAAGGACCAGCTATCAAGGAGTAATAAATGAAAGTGGAAATGAAAGAGACTTGGCCCAGAGTGACAGTGGATATAAATGGCCCTCGTGGGCCATAAACCAGTGTGACCAATTAGAACTTGACCTCACTTGGCTTGTGTGATAGAATCTTTGTGGGTATTTATAAGATTTGTAGCCATAGCATCGAGATAATGGCCTAGAACTGATTCCTTTCCTTCTCCTCCCCTTTTAAAACTAAAGAAAAATAAGCAAATAGCAAATATGCGTGATTCATTTCCCTACTGGTCTAAAGGTACATTCCAAGTTAAGGACAGCAGGTCAAGCTTGAGTTTATATTTGTTCTGTATTTCTGCTGTCGTCATATAGTAACCGATGAAGAAATTTAGCTTTCACAAATCTTTCTGATAAAACGTTTCAGCTATATTTTCTCCATTGTTTTGATGAGACCCCTTTTTTAAACATTGCACGTTTCCTGGCTTGCAGAGAAGCAGGCAGCCCGGGGTCCCGGTGCGGCAGTGTGCGGTACCTCCAGAGCCCAAAGAATTAACACGGCAGCGCCGCTGTCCTGGGCGTGTGGCCCTCCTTCAGCTCGGAGCTGAGATTTCCATGGGATAGTCACCTTGCTTACAAATTCATTCTCTACTTGGAGCTAGAGAAGAAAACGCGTTGAAAGAACTGAAAACAGAAATAAAAACCAAACCACAAAGTCCCTAAAACAGAAATGGATGAACGTGGAAGGGGAGACCGACTGGACGTGGTTCTAGTCCGGATTGCCTTGACCATCACGTGGCCTGGAGAGACTGGAGGGGGTGGCGGGCACTGTGCCTTCCGCTCAGAGAAAGGGTGAGGCATAGAGACCTCCAGCCAGGCCACAGGGTGGCACCCACAGGGTGTGAGGCAGATAGTGAAGATCCCCACAGGTCTTTGCGGAGTGCTGGGACCTTGCAGACTCCAGCACCAGAGCCAGCCAGGGTGCTCATGAGGAAGGACAGGTGTTGTCAGATGTCTAGATGTCAGCAGAACCCTAGATACCAAGCCAAAGCCTTCCTATCTGTTAATCACCGGCAACCTGGCTGGTAACTGAGAAAGGGAGGCGAGACTTTTCCGAACTTCAAACTCTAGATTGATCATCTCAACCCCACAGAGAACTGAACTCATCAGCTCTGTTCAGTTTGGGGTTATGTTTAGAGCATAAGACATACCCTTTGGCTTCAAAACGAAATGTAGAGGACAATAGTGTTTATCTTTCTAGCGCACTGATGAGTACAACTTGTGACAATCCAACTAATTTCACTTCCTTTTTGTTTTTCATTTCCTTTAAAATGTATTCACGAGGAGAGATCTGCTCTGATGTCTGGAACAACATTGCCCGGCTCGGGTGCATGTTAGAATCAAGTGGGAAGTTTTAATTATTACTTTATCTTATTTCATATTTGATACACATTCCTGGGGCCCACCTCCACGTCTTCTGAGTCAGTGACTCTCGGATGAGGCTGGCACTTTAGCACTTTGTATTTTTAAGATGCCTAGGGACTCCAGTGTTCAACCAAGGGTGAGTCGCTGGTCTGGACGAGGCTCCGACCCAAGTAAGATTTTCCTGCTCGTTGCTGAGTAACAGACAGTCCTTTGGTCACTTTAGGTTGCAGACAAGATCTCAGCTGAGAAATGACAAGTTCCGTCTGAGTTAGAAATCGAAACTCCGGACTTAGATGGAAGGGCCAGTCCCCTCTCCTCTTCCAGCTCAGGCTGCATGGGTGGTGGCGGGAGACGTGAGCTTCAGCTGCTCTGCTGCCCGGGGGAGGGCGGGCATGGGGGATGGATGCATGGGCGTGTGCTTGCTGGTGCCTTTGTCTCTAGGGACCTGAATATGTTCAGGACTGATCCATGGACTTTTTTCCCTGGCTCCCTTTAGGGGTGCTTTAGAGATTCCACTCTCTGCAGTCCCCTCTTCCACAGTTCCCATGACAGAAGCAAACACATTTTAATCCAACTGGTGGAAGCAATCCCCTCCTTAGCACCCTGGAATGCAGCTTTGTGTTGTTGGGGTCCCTCTGCTCCTGCAGGGGCCCTATTGTCAGGACCTAAGACTCCCCACACAGGCTTTCTCCCATGCTGCCCCCTCTGGGCCATAGGAGCCCTCGTGATGCTTTGTCCTGACCCCTCTGGGTGTACAAGTCTAACCCAAATGCCACCTGCACCTGCCACCACAGTGGCTTTAGCGTCCTCTGCAGGAGCCAGGCGCTCGTCCTCTGGGCCTTCTGCCTGCAGGGACATGTCCAAGCTATCAGAGCGGGGCCAAGGAAACCCCGTGGTGGGGTGTGGCAAGGACCCACTTCTCCCCGAAGAACGCTCTTTCTGAGTCCTTCCTGGTCTTTCCTCTCTGGGACCTGTTAAAGTCCAGGGAGAACATGGAGCCAGCTCTCGCCATGTCTGCCGTGAATCCTGCAGTGTTACCCTCTCGGGGGAAGACCGAGAGACCATACAAGGGAACCCACTCCTCACCTCCTTCGTGCTCATGCTCTGCAGCCCTTGGGGGGAACCCTCTGCCCAGAACGGTCCCTCTCCGCACTGGCCTTGTCCTCCCTTGTCCTTGTCCAGGAGATTGGGCGTGCTCAGGGAAGAGGACCTCGGACTGTGCCACCTGATGCATGAACTTTCTAGACTTGTAGCTTTAAGGAGAAAACAATGTTTGCTTCCTAGAAAGGGTGGGGAAATGTACTCTCTCTCTGGCATCTAAGCTCTATCCTGCTTCCCTCCCATTTGGAACGGGATCTCTGGGGACAAAGCACACCTGCCGCCCGTGCCCCTATCGTTTT